TGCATTATAGAAATTCGAGCAAATTATCACAGAATTCATAACACACGGATGTAGAGCAAAAATAGAAATCAATCGACTTCGCTAATTTTATTTAATAGGTTAATAGGTTAATTTTACTTAATAGTTAATATTTTACTTAATAGCTCAATAGATTACTTAATAGGTTGAGGCAAAATCAACAAGTTCAGTACGTCGAGGCGTTTTCACGTTGGAAGTCAACGTGAACAATTTCATGCATGAACGATTATTTGAAGTTGATGAATATATGTTTGAGATGCCGACATATTCTCGAACTACTAAAATTGGCACCATTAAAGTTTGTCATCTTTAATTATCTATTATTTTTAATTATTAAAATTGATGAAATATTGGCAAAATTGTGTCGTATTAATTTGCTTTGAAAAAAAATTTAATAAAAATACCGCTACGAAAGCTACTTCAATTATTTGCTATAATACATTTACCGCATGCATACTCTGCACCGAGTATCGATTGGTTTTCCAAAAATACCTGATGAATAACATATTCAAATTTAAAATGAAATTTCAATGCTTCAATTAGAGTATTTTCAGCTGGTTAGTGGAATTTCAGCTAAAAATGTCCAATATACGATATATGGTAGCATGGCAAATTAGTAAGTTTTCTGGATAAATTAAAAAAAAAAGAAAAATTGAATCTATTTAAAGTGATAACAATATTACAAGAACTCTACTTAATTGGCCGAATCATTTTCGATAGATTATTATAGTGAATAAAATTTGATTAATTTATCCGAATACGTCAAAATTTTGCTAACTTTAATTCATTTCATATTTCATCCATCAAAATATGCTCTCAAACTTCTCATTAAAATTACAGTTAATATAAAATGCAATTAAAATAATGAGGTTATTGAAGACAAAAGAGAGAGAAATTTGTGTGAAACCGTTAATTAAACTCAAATATTTATTTATTTTTAGTTTTTCGTTGGAATTCGTTGGAACTAAAAGCATTGAATTGATAAGTTTGGAATGTCAAACGGAGTGCCATAAAATACCGCGACAATTCGCACTTATGATACGTGCAATAATTGAAAATCACAAACTACCATATGATCTACCGATATCGATTAAACTTACCAGTAATAATGAAGGACAAAGGCCGCGCTTCAAGCAATCTGTGATTCCGTTAATTCTTAAAGAAAAATCATTCATGAATAATCCATTACTGATTGAAGTTGATAATCCAAATGATGTCAATCTCACTTTTATTCTCAATGATTATAATCCAATTTTTGAAATTAACGAAAAATTTGGTGTCCTTTCAATTCGAGTAAGTTTTTTGTTTCCTTTTTAATTTGTTGAGTTCATTTTATGTCGACATTCAATAAAAATATGACAAAACGAGAAATACCAAATTTAAATTTAAAAAAACTAGTACATTTCACATATATGAGAATACACAGAATTTTGAAGAAAATTTGAAGAAGCGAGAGTTTTTTTTTGATATTTCATTTATTTATTTCAATCATTTTTCATCTTTTACTCATCAACTGCTTTAAATTCAATTCAATTCCAAACTGAATTTGATAATCCAAAATTGCAAAAAAATTTTTTTTTTTTTGAATTTGAAGATCTAAGAAATGTTTTCGAAATTTTTTTTTCTATAAAAACATCACCCATTATTCATGCCAAACATATATATTAGAAGAACGGTTTTTTTTTTGTTGATGAATTAAATTTAAAAGAAAAATTTGAATTTCAGAATAGTGAACTACTTACCGTGGATAATCTTGGTGAACGTTTCAATATGTCGCTATCAGTTTCAGATGGAAAGAATGATATTGATACAGCAATTATCATGATTACTCTCAATCCAATTATTGATCAACAAACTGTGGCACCAAAATTTTCGCATGTGAATTTTTCTTTTGTCTAATAATATAAAATAAAATATGAATATTTTATCAGTGATTTTTTTTTCATTTTTGAAAATTTTAGAAATATTCTGAAACGAAATTTTTCAATTTAATTCATTTTAATCATTTAGATGTTTTGATTAAATTTCTCTTGAAAACTCTGTTTTTCAGAATGTTTATGCATTTGCGGCAAAACCAGGTGAATCTTTTGTGGGGCAAGTATTAGCTCAAAATTTGGATGATGATATAACATATCGAATTGCTGAAGGTGGCGCAACATTATTTCGAATTAATGAAACCGATGGAAGAATTTTTTATCATGGACCACTTAGCAAAGACTCACATAACTATGAGTTAAAGGTTAATGCATATTTAAATTGTTTCTCTTTGCTTTTCCCATCTTTTGTCCGAAATTTAAGAAAACTTATTAAAAGTTATTAACTGAATAAAAAAATTGAATTTTGATTATTTCAGGTTGTAGCATTAGATGAAAGTTCACCACCATACATTGATGTAGCACTTGTTCAAGTATTAATTGCTGGGTTAGGAAGTTCACCAGCTAAATTC